ATGCAGAGCTGGCAAGGCCAGGAATTAACTGCATCCATGTTATTAGTAGACAGAAAAGTGTGAAGACTTGTACTTGAATTTGGAAAGGTTTTCACCTCACATATCCAGTGAGAGCCCCTTTTAGTAATGACCTTTATTGCAATAACCACAATCTGTGACCGACAGTCACTGAGAACTAGGTAAAGAACAGTGGGTGTTCCATCTTCGCCTACATATAAAGAATTTCCCAGAACAAATGCAGGATCGTGTAGGCCCATATGCACCTAGATCATATTTGATGATCTTTCCATAAAGCCACAATGTTTGAACAACAATTCAGGCATTTTCCTACAACACATCAAATGTTTTCCCAAGAGCCTTGACCAATTGTAGATTATGGTTTCATGTCAGAAGAGATAAAGACTTTAAAAAACACAGAAAACCATTAGGAATTTGAAGGCATTCTTCTGTTCCCAACACATGTCTCTCTTTAATGCCTAACCCCATCCATATAACACAAGTTAGTCACTTTCCACTTTATTGGGAGCCCCCATGTGAATGTCACGCAGTCAGAATGAGATGTGACAAGTCTAAGAGAATTAGGGTCCGTGTATAATCCAAAGGCTGCTGCTCAACCCCATAGAATGAAGCTGCTAAATCTGTTACCCAAACTCACATTTTTGTTTGCTACAGTGCTTCAAATTGTAAGAGTTAAAGAGTGTGGCAAACATCTTGTCTCCTTTTGCTTAAAGCAACTTAAATATTGCTCTAAAATTAAATCCTAATGGAAATCTCTAAGAACTACTTCAAATCTTGGTTAGCGAAGAAAATGAAAAATGATTGCAATCAACTAAGAAATTAACCTATTTTCCCCAAAACCATAAGAACAATAATTTGTTTTAAAAAAGAAAAAAAAAAAAAAAAAAAAAAAAGGTGGCCCTGGGATCCAGCTAAACTTTCCTTGAATGATAGATATATCATCAAATGTAAATCCAAATAACTTTGTCCAAGGTTGAATGGGGGAGAATGTCCAATAGGCATAGTTGAGTAAGACATACATTTGTGAGGACCTTTAAAGGAACTTACAGAATTCTTCTAGTCAGCTCAGTGAATCCAGCAGGGAATTCCAAACCTCTGTGTGTGTGTGTGTGTGTGTGTGTGTGTGTGACTAAAAAAAGTGCACTGTCATATCCTGTAGAGTCTAATTTGTAAGCCTGGGAATATTGGTAGAGATTGATAAGTAGCCAGTGTTCCAAATGTAATTTTAAAAAGTATGAGCAGGAAAAAATGTCAAACAAGGGGGAGAGAGAATAAGGATGGACAGAGTTAGGGAGAGAGGAGCCCCCCTCACTGCCATGCTCCCCATGGAAGGGTGAACCAGTAAAACTGGGCAGTGGTGATGGGGTGCAGTTCTGGATACAGAAGTTTGTTTGAAAGATCATCCCAGAACTTGCCTCAGTGAGCTGCGTAAATAACACAAAGTAATGCTCTTTAAAACTATGGGCGTATTTAAGGTGAGGTTTTACTATGTCCCTTATCTTACAAGGTCCATTTTCGAGACATTCAGAGATAGGCATTAAGAATCCAAGAACCAAAAAGAAAAACAAACAAAATGAATCTAGGAACCTCTGAATGCGCATTGAAATGTTTTTGTATCTATCCACTTCCTTTTCTAGAAAAAGGGTCATTAGCTCTTATCAGATTCATAAAAGTGCTCTGCTATCTTTGCCTCCACAAAATAGGGCTAAGAAAAGCATTGCTTTGGGTCACAGTCATTATTTGACATCATTTTTTTTACTCAGATACAGAAGCACCGTGCGTAGGGACATAACTAGACAGAAAGCTTAATGTCACTATATCTTGGCAAGGAAAATTTATGCTAAGTGTATTAGTCAACTTTCCCATCATCGAGACATAATGCCTGGCACCCACAACTTAAAGGAGGAAGAGTTGACTTTAGCTCAAGTTTTTGGGGGATTCAGTCTGTGGTCACCAGGCTCCAATGCAGAAACCTCATGGCAGAAGGGCATAATGGAGCAAAGTCGCTTAGTTCAAGGAAGTTGGGAAGTAGGGCAAGGAACAGTGCCAGAGAGGAACAGGTAAGGGACCAGACACAATACCCAAGGTCATGCCCCTTTGTCCCACACAGGCACACTCAGGAGCTTGCTTTACTAATCGGCTAGGCGTTAATCCAATGAAATTGACACATCTGGACCAATGGTGCTGAGCATGGAATTTTTAGAAATAGTCTTATTCTTTACCTCCCATAACTAAGAAATTTAAAAGTGCTTCTATTTTAGACTATAACACCTTTTTTTGTCTTTAGGGAAAAATGCATATTTTATCACTGAAGGAAAGAGGGTAGAATACAGAGGTATAGATTTAATACTTACAAAAGAGAATGCTGTGTACTATTCAAATTCAAGCACTGCACTTGAGCACTGGATTGACATATTTGCTTACATCACCTTAATTGACCATCAGTTTCATTCCAACTTTAAGAAATCTTACCCTCAAAATAGTTATTTCTAGAAGTTTTAACATTTTGACAGATTGACAAATACATTAGCAAGAAATATACTGGTGGTTTATAACTCTCAAGTCTATAAAAGTGGTTCTTTGCACTATGTAGCCTCTCAAAGGGAGGGGAGGTTTCCAGCCATTTGTTTGTCATATGCCAGGACCTAGATCAGTTATGGTGACCCATTTAGAGAAAATGCTCAAGCTGCAACCCAAAAATCACATTTATTACAACATTTCAATTAAACCTGAGTATTGGTTTAGAAAAAACAACCTGTTAATGTTAATGTTTTTTGTCTTAAAAAATGACAAGGGTGCCATAGGTTCACCACACTGTCCTAGATGGAACATTCTAGAAGGTCCATTCTAGAACCTGAGTCCATGAGAATACTATGGATCACACTTGGTCTATTTGAGTTGTAGCAAAAGTTACTGACAGAATTGATGCTCAGGAGTTAAAATATGGCAAATTCCAGGTTCTCTTAGAAAATTCTGGAATAAGGCTAGATATATCCTTTGATATAAAACAAGACATGTTATTGATGTAAAGTCAGTATTATGAGAGCATATGCTAAAGCAAAGGGAAAATTAAAAAGAATGGTATTTTAGGAAATACATCATAAATAATTTAGACATTGCATTGGAAAAGATGTTGCTTTTCCAAGGCATATTAAAATAAATACAAATCCCTATTGGGGTGAATTATTTTATGACAGCAGACTTTCCCGTAAAAGGAGTGTGCTGTTACATTAACATTTCAATTCAGCAATACCAAATTGAAAAGTGTGATCCATAGTATTCTCATGGTCTCAGGCTCTACAATGGACCTTCTAGAATGTCCCATCTAGGACAATGTGGTGAACCTATGGCACCCTTGTCATTTTTTAAGACGCAGCTTTCAATAGAAACTTCCTTCAGTGTCACAAGCAGCAGCAATGGCAGTGTCTCCTTCATAGATACCCAAACAGAGCTTGGGAGAGACCTCATGACTGATGAGGGCTTCAAGGCTAAGGCAGAGAAGCAGCGCCTTCCACTTCCCACGCCTTGCAGCTGATGGAGCCATCCTCAGCCTCCCCATCCACAGGACACAAGGAGACCCCAGCTCACTTGTCCCTCTCATTTTCCTCTGGAGAATACAAAGAAATCTTGGCTTCTTCCTTCATCAACAACCACTGCTTTGTTCGCATTTTTTAAAATGTAGATTTAAACAGCACCTGTGTTTTTGTAACTGGCCTATTGGGCCACTCCTTTAGGCTAAAAGTCAAACTATGAAAAAAATAATCTGTTCTGACTTGCAAGAGATAAAGTCCTACAAGACTGCCATAGTCATATTTTAAAAGTAAAATGGGTCATATTTGTAACTGGGAGTTTCTTGTTATATTAGATAAAACTGTGACAAGAGGGATAAGAAAGAGAATTCAGATAACCAAAGATTTAGTGTTGAAGTTCATATTTACAGAAGTGGCACTGAATTTTGATTGGAGCTTCTAAAGTGTTTGTTCTCTGTTAGATAATCTCCTTTTTATGGTACTATTAACTTCTGAGGCATTAAGGAGAGAAAATACAATGCAATACCAAATTGAAAAGAAGGAAGTTATTCAGTAAAAATTGACAATATTGAAATTGCACTTGACAGTATAATTTCTATTTCATCATGTTTTACATGGACATTTATTTTTAATACTTCTCTTAAATATATTAATTTGAACCACACACAACAATGCCATTATTAGAGAAATTTTTACCTGAAGTCAGCAGTGTCTTAGAGCTAGGAATGAACAGCTTTAATACCTTAGAAAAGATCTGTAAAACCCCTTAACTCAATGGACTGAAAAATGTATACTAAATGTCATCTGTGCCTAGCGCCTTGCTTAGTGGTAAAGGACACAATTGTGGCAGATATCTACTGGGTCATCTACCATGACCATGATGCTGTTAGCAATCAAATCAAGCTGGTCATCTCTGATCGGAATATAGAGGCCCATAACCCAGCCAGCAGTCAATTCGACAAGCCCCCTACTGATTTTGGCAGTCTTTAATAAAAAGAGCAATTTAGACATTTTCCTTCTACTGTGATAACTTCAGGAAGGTGGTGATTTTTAACCTCTCATTTTTCACATAGGAAACTAAACTACTGGATAGATAAGAGACTCGAGATCACATTTAGCTTCATCTCCTGGCTCTTAGCCCAGTGCTTTCTCTGTTAACCAATTCTCCTCCGTTCCCTACCATATGCTCTGCAGTGAAAAATGTCTTAGCTGTCCCTGCTCTTGCGGGAAGTAGCTGGGAGACAGGCGAGTAGATGCCTTGGTGCGGGTGGGGGGAATTTCCGCTAAGTTTTCTGTAAATTTTCGCTTAGTGTTTTTATCTCTTCATATGTTATTTCCTCCCTGTGCTCAGTAATTTTAGTTTGTGCTTTTTGTTTCTCTTTTTGTTTCTTTGGTTTGCTGGCTTTGTGTTCTTTCCTCTTTTTTTCCCTTTTCTTTTCCTTTTTAATGCAGGAATCGGCCAAGGGGTTCCCGTGGTGGCACTCATCGTGGAAGGAGGACCCAACGTGATCTCCATTGTTCTGGAGTACTTGCGAGACACCCCTCCTGTGCCTGTGGTTGTCTGTGATGGCAGCGGACGGGCATCTGACATCCTGGCATTTGGACATAAATACTCAGAAGAAGGCGGGTAGGTACTTTCCACAGGCACCGTGGAACCCTGAGTGCAAACTTATGTTCATAGCTTGGAGAAGAGGGTAGGAGATGATTATGCTTTCAGTAGCTAAACCAAGACCTCATGTCATAGCCAGCTGTAAGTGAAACAGTCTAAACAGTGCTTATGGTGGGAGGGTAATGGGTGAGGACAGAGGAGCGTAGTCTAAATGTTCATGGAATGAGAAATTCCATGAAATCTACACTATGCCAACATGGATAATACAAGGATCAGGAAGAAAGGGGTTCATAAGATGGGCCCTCCCTTCCTCTTTCTTTCCTTCCTCCTTCCTTTCATTCTTCCTCCAAAGAAGGGACAGCAAGAATTGGAGTATATGACAACACCAAGCATGGCTAATCTGAATCAACTCATATAGGTCACTCCCCTGCAAGAAGCTGAAGATGCAGCCTCTGAGCTTACCCTCTAAACCCCAGCATCGCAGGCAGTTGTGGAAACACTCACTGGACAGTGTGGTCAGATCCCACTAGACAGGTTTGGAAGATAAAATCTCAGAACTGGTAAAGGCTTTGATCCTGTGTAATCTCCTCTCCAACCACCCCTTCTCCACTTCACATGGTCTATCAATCCTCTGATGCTTTCCAGGGCACAAAGCCTGCAAGACCAGGAAGACACCCTCTCCCCAGCCCCCTCCAATCTGAATCCACACACAGTGAGCAGTGAAATCCAGGCACACTTGCAAATTACAGATCAAAGTAATTCACCCCAGCATATGAATTGTTGAAAAGAGAACACTCAGAGGAGCCATCACATTGTAAACAAAGAACTTCTTAACCCAATTTTCTTAACCTGTAAAATGGGAGAAAGACATTCCACAAGAGAAGGGTATCTTTTATTCATGCCTTTTATAAACATATAGTTGTGTGCCAGATACTGAGAATAATGGACAACTGCCAGTCTCATGAAACTATGAGTCTAATAAGTTGACATTATTTTATTGTAGTATCTACAGAAAAAGAGGACAGATGAGAGTACCTACCATAGGACACCCTTCTGCACCTCTCCTTACCCAGCCTGCCTTACAAGTCGCTATGTTAGCCCTGTAGCATCTCTTCTCTTCCCATCCTTGTCTTTGCTCACCCTCCAGGTGAGCTGCTGGAGCAGCAAGTCCACCTGGCAGCTCAGGCACCTAGGTGTGAGCTAAGGAACGATGCAGGACACCGGCCTTCCAGCGAAACACAGCACGCATGGCACTGATTCTAGCCCTAAAGATTAGATACGATAAAAGAGGGCAAAAATGCTCACTGAAGTTGCCACTTACAAATTTAATGTAAATATTACCATTTTCTTTGCTTTTTAAGCTTTAAAAGTCACGTTGCCATTTCCCTCCATCTAAATATTTTCCCTCACTTCAAACACACTTAGCTCAGCATTCTCGCCACTTTCTGAAGCGGTCTTGGAGTCCTCTTTTGTGTCTTTTATTGCTCTGTCATGGCTGCCTTCATGTCCTGAATGAACTTAAAACATTTACCTTTCGTGGACATTTTGATATTGAGGAAAAGCCACAAGTCACAGGGTACCAGAGTTGGTGAAAAAGCTGGATGAGGACACTCCGTCGTATTGCTATGTCACTAATATTGTCATACGAGGAGCAATGTGAGAAACAGCGTTGGGATGAGAGAGGTTGAAACTACTTGCGTTTTGAGGTCGTTTTCTATGCGTGTGTTTTCTTAAACAACAAACCCTTATAATATTGAGAGTTCTCAGTAGTGTTCCTAGGTACACACTCAATTCACAGTTCCATGCAAGCCAAAAACCAGTCAACATCATATTGATGTTGGATATTTTGATTGATGCTCTTCTTCACAAGAGGAGAACAAGGTGATGTCCGGGAGATCTCTGAAACCTGGTCTCAGGATCATAACCATATGCTCGAATTTCATCTCATACCATGACTTTCATAAAAAGCTGTGATCTGAAGCGGCATGACTGCACCCTTCTATGAAATACATTATGATCCATGACTTACAACACAGTTTGACACATACTCTTTCTTTTTTAAAAGTTTACTTGATCAATGCATGCTTGAGAAGCAAAATGATTACATACATAGTAAGGAGTTGGTATATGTACATAAGACATCTTAATGCTTTTTACATTCCCTTCCAAGCCCCTCGAACCCTCCTTCCATCTCTTGGTCCCCTTCTTAATTGCAAAAGAGCTATATAGTATTGATCATTTTATAGCTAAAGACCCGAACAGAGAGCATTTGTCCAGTGATCCTCACATTGTTTACCAAAAAGAGTTCCAGACCCTCAACTGTGCTTTGTGTTTATTATAAATTTAGCCATGATTCTCATTTCCCTAATGATAGCAACTTTAACATAATGTCAAGACTTTTTAGAGTGTTGGCTTGCTTTTTGCTTTCTGGTGTTTACAAATTATTTTATTGTGTTCCTATGAAGTAGACACAACTTCACATCCAGAGTTCAGTTTTCCTTTCCAAAACAGCTAAATAAAAAAGCTGTTCATCTCAGTATTTTAGGTTTTCTAGATCTAAACATGATAAAATTCCAGACCTAGCATCTATTATTTACTACTATTTTGGGTTGTGTGCCTTGAAAATCTTAAACTCTTCTATAAGATTTCTATTCTGTCTATTTTAATAAGGGTTGTACCTTTACAGCCAGAAAGAACACTGGATAATTTAACTTAGTGAACATAAATTTGAGGAGTTAAGTACTTTGTCCAAGGCCACACAGCTCATGATCCCAGGCTAGGATTCCTCTTCCTGTAGTATAAAAATTCCCCAAAATACGTTTTGTGACAGGTGCTTTATTGTTTCTCATAAATACCTCAACAATACTATTTTTAATATTTAAGTATACTGAAGCTGCTGTCAGCCTCCTCTGTGCATAATTTTAAAATTTTCATTATTGTGTGTAGTCCTAAAAGGTAAATACCATGCTGCCCTGCTTACAAAACAATATCCAAACTGATGCTCCGTCACAGATTTTTTCTTTCCCTACCCAGACCATTCTACCCAATACCAAAATGAAGACTCCAAATCACCATGCCCTTTTTAACTTTAGTTGGCCATCTTACGTCTGTTTTGTGGTCAAAATATGCAAAACCACAATCTATATGGGATCTGTGTGAACATATGAACCACGATTGATTATCGAAGAATACAGTGTCACCCATGCACATAACTAGCACAGAGGTAAAGAATTAAGCATAATTTTATATTTTGGGACTTTTAAAAATTAAGGAACACTTGAACACTTACTAGGAGCAAAGGAGAGGCTTCACTTGCACACAGACGCATTATATATATTGTGTTATGATTAAAAATATGCTCTTGGCTCCAGGAAAGCAATGATGAATTTATCGTGATGAAATGAAGGCCGATGTTTCTCTGTACCATCTGAATAACTGCCAGAATTAATCATGTTTATTTAGCTTGATATGAAATTGTCTAGCCACATATGTGCAGCCAATTTAGAAAATTATTTCCAGCGAACATTAGTTTGCAGTGATATGCCTTCTTTGTGCTAAAAAAAGAATCGTTCCACCTAGACTTTATTTACTGCTAAGGATTTCTTCTTTGATTTCCACTAAAGCTCAACAGAGTTGGACATGCTTCTCTCAAACTAAATATACTACTATAATTATGCTTATATAAACAACCTATGTAGAAAAATGTATTATAGTACATATAAAATTAGATGAAAATAGAAAAAGCATACACTATTCATGAAATCTTTATTTCAGGATTAAATCTATATCTTTGTTATCTCAGTATTAAATACTAAAATTCAGTAATTTAAATATTAAAATTCAGTAATTTAAATATTAAAAATTGAATTCGTTTGTAGATTATTCAATAATATATGCCCAATACCAGGGTTATTACTCAGTGACACAGTGCCTGCCTGGCAAGCTCAAGTCATGAGTTTGATCCTTGGTACCAAAACAAAAAATAATATATGTGTATATTTTGAACTATAAATGTGTATATTTTGCTATGACTTTTTTCTTTTTTTAAACCTTTTTATTTTATTTTAAAAAGAAAAAAGTCGGAAAAGAAAAACAAAAGACATAAACAACAGCAAACTCAATAATAATATAGGTTTTCAAAACAGAATGAAAGAAATTTAACAATGGTTGTTGTATTGCATATTGTTCTCTTTTTTTCAAATAAAGAAAATTAAAGAAAATAGAAAAAAAAGGGTAGAACAATACCAAATTCAAAAAAATTAACATCATAAAATCGCTAGTTGAAGCATTACTTATTGTCGTCTTAAAAAACAGTTGCCAAAGTCACAAAATCAAAGCATAAATAGTGGCTTAGACACTCTCACAACTTATACCTTAACCTTGTCACCTATTTTTGCTTTCAAGTTCTTTTCCAAGAATATAAATTTTACAAAGAATCACTTATGAAGCAAATATACTTGGCAAAACTGGTTAGCTTTTGTAGATGATATTATCTGAGGTAGAAAAAGACTGATCTATCACAGTGCAAATTGGTTTGAATTAACTAAAGAATAAATGCAATAAAAATCCTACTTTTATCCTTTTCTGTCCATACCTGCTCTATGGCATGCGCTACCTAAAAGATAAGGTTGAATTCCTGTTCTCCCTTGTTGCTATGGATTTTCTATGTCTCCTTTTTCATAACTTAGAATGAGTTAGCAATCACTTTCCCTTACTGTCACTGCTTTAAAATAGTATCAAATAGTTTTTAATCACAAAAGAGTAACTCTACAAACATAAAGGCAATAATGCTATCCAAAGAGTATTAGCTTTAATTAACTAAGATTTTAAATTTGGACTTCAGTCCTTGTGTTTGATTGAACAAAACAAACATTACCCATACTCGGGAATGTCTTTCAGGCTGTAGGCCCCTGAAATCAGACTCGTCTCCCTGATGACTGTCCACCTGGAGTCTCAGACTGCAGACAAATGTGACCTTTATCCTCGTTTATCAGTCAGTGAACGAGTACTGACGGATG